CAGTGAGTCAGTGAGTCAGTGAGTGAGTGAGTGAGTGAGTGAGTGAGTGAGTGAGTGAGTGAGTGAGTGAGTGAGTGAGTGAGTGAGTGAGTGAGTGAGTGAGTGAGTCAGTGAGTCAGTGAGTCAGTGAGTCAGTGAGTCAGTGAGTCAGTGAGTCAGTCAGTGAGTCAGTGAGTCAGTGAGTCAGTGAGTCAGTGAGTCAGTGAGTCAGTGAGTCAGTGAGTCAGTGAGTCAGTGAGTCAGTGAGTGAGTGAGTGAGTCAGTGAGTCAGTGAGTCAGTGAGTCAGTGAGTCAGTGAGTCAGTGAGTCAGTGAGTCAGTGAGTCAGTGAGTCAGTGAGTCAGTGAGTCAGTGAGTCAGTGAGTCAGTGAGTCAGTGAGTCAGTGAGTCAGTGAGTCAGTGAGTCAGTGAGTCAGTGAGTCAGTGAGTCAGTGAGTGAGTGAGTGAGTGAGTGAGTGAGTCAGTGAGTGAGTGAGAGAGAGAGAGAGACGGAAAGAGAGAGAGAGAGAGAGAAAGCGAGACGGAAAGAGAGAGAGAGAGAGAGAGAGACAGCGAGAGCGAGAGCGAGAGAGTGAGAGTGAGAGTGAGTGAGTGAGTGAGAGAGAGAGAGAGAGCGAGAGCGAGAGCGAGAGAGAGAGTGAGAGTGAGAGTGAGAGTGAGAGTGAGTGAGTGAGAGAGAAAGAGAGAGAGAGAGAGAGTGAGTGAGTGAGTGAGTGAGTGAGTGAGTGAGTGAGTGAGTGAGTGAGAGAGAGAGAGAGAGGGAGGGAGAGCGAGAGCGAGAGAGAGAGAGAGTGAGTGAGATTGAGAGTGAGTGAGTGAGTGAGTGAGAAAGAGAGAGAGAGAGAGAGAGAGAGCGAGACCGAGAGCAAGAGAGAGAGAGAGAGAGAGATGGAGAGTGAGTGAGTGAGTGAGTGAGTGAGTGAGTGAGTGAGTGAGTGAGTGAGTGAGTGAGTGAGTGAGTGAGTGAGTGAGTGAGTGAGTGAGTGAGTGAGTGAGTGAGTGAGTGAGTGAGTGAGTGAGAAAGAGAGAGAGAGAGAGAGAGAGTGAGAGTGAGTGAGAAAGAGAGAGAGAGAGTGAGAGTGAGAGTGAGTGAGTGAGTGAGTGAGAGAGAAAGAGAGAGAGAGAGTGAGTGAGTGAGTGAGTGAGAGAGAGAGAGAGGGAGAGCGAGAGCGAGAGAGAGAGAGAGAGAGAGTGAGAGTGAGAGTGAGTGAGTGAGTGAGTGAGTGAGAAAGAGAGAGAGAGAGAGCGAGACCGAGAGCAAGAGAGAGAGAGAGAGAGATTGAGAGTGAGTGAGTGAGTGAGTGAGAAAGAGAGAGACAGCGAGAGCGAGAGCGAGAGAGTGAGAGTGAGAGTGAGTGAGTGAGTGAGTGAGAGAGAGAGAGAGAGCGAGAGCGAGAGCGAGAGAGAGAGTGAGAGTGAGAGTGAGAGTGAGAGCGAGAGCGAGTGAGTGAGCGAGTGAGTGAGGCGAGGCGAGGTGAGATGAGGTGAGGTGAGGTGAGGTGAGGTCCGGTGGGGTGGGGTGGGGTGGGTGGGTGGGGTGGCGTGGGGTGGGGTGGGTGGCTGAGTGAGTGAGCGAGTCCTCTGAGACTTCTGCTTGTGCTGTCAGAGTGATTGAGTGAGTGAGTGGGTGAGCACGTGAGAGGAGAGACAGACAGAGAGAGAGAGAGAGAGAGACAGAGAGTGAATGAGCGAGCGAATGCGCGAGGGAGCGAGCGAGTCGGTGACTCCATTCACAGCCTTTCGTTTTTATACCCATCCCAGACAGAGATGGAGGAGTGTGAACGAAGAGAGCGAAAGGACCGGTGATTCCCATGCCTTCCTCGCAGTCACATCAAGGGTTTATGAATAGACGAGTGCCATTTCTTCTTGTAATGACAAACATTCCATTCCAAGAGATCTCAAATAAGAATAGAATGGCAATTCTATGTCCCGTTCCTCACTTGCAAAATACGAGCGGTCAAGCGTTCTTCATCTCGAAAGAACCCTCCCAGTCTATTCTTCCCTGGTCCGCGCCGCAATGCTCTCACCGATTTTGGCGGGGCACGAAAGCCTCCATACAGTGAGTGAGTGAGAGAGAGAGAGAGAGAGGGGGTGGAGAGGGGTGGAGTGGGGTCAGGTGAGGTGAGGGGATGCGAGGGGATGCGAAGTGAGGTGCACTGAGGTGCAGGTGCAGATTTAGTGTGGGAGGTGAGGTCAGCTCAGGTGAGGTGGAGTGAATGCCTGTGAGCAAGTGTTCGAACTAGCCTTATGCTGTCAGGCGCCGGAAGGAGGCTGGACAACAGAGAGTGAAGCATAATTGCCATCGTTGCTGGAGGTTCATCATGATTGCGGTGCAACATCAGTCGCAACAATTGCATTCCAGTGTGTTGTGCCCGCGAGACAAAGCTGATACATAGTTTGACATTCCCTGTTGAGCCATTTGTTTCAATATCTTTGGTGCAAATTGTGATCTGGCAATTTAAACCACATGTGCGCAGGCATGTCAATGCGGCACTTTTGGACGATGTAGATCCTACCCACCCACAATTGAAACTTGCAGTCAAACATGTAGGTCTTTCTTTCCAACCGGTGCTGTGTTTCGAAGCAACTTGCACATACCAGCTGGGGCAAAACACCAGTCGACCCGTGCTGCAGGAGGACTGAATGTGCAGGTGAGATGCTTAGATCAGCCTGGTGTGCGTCTTGCCAAGCAAAGCAACGCATCTATGTTCAATGGAGGAAGCTCGCTCGCCTGCTTACTTAGTTGCAGCCAATAGTGGGGACCAGCTCGGCATTAGAAGGCACAAAGAGGATTTGTTGAAAGTACCTTGCATGGCAATGTGCCATATTGATTTGGGAACCAGTCGGACATGAGAAAGTGCGGGCTGCAGGTGCTAAGATACAGTTATATAACGGCAGGGAGCTGGGGGTCGTACGCAATGGTTTGTTTTGTAGAATCATTCAGAATGATCTTCACTTCCGGACTTCGAGCTGCCACACACAGGCTTTGTGCCTCGCCAACATCAGAGACGCCTAGCAGCTGCTCCCATCTACATGGGCCATTTGCAATCGGGTATGAATCCAAGTTGCTGTTCTGTCTGGATCTGTGCATGAAGCTAAGCTTGAGAAGCGAGCATTTTGTGCAGACGAAAATGCTAAAGGCTTGCAAGATCGCTGCGTGCAAGCAACCTGTCCCACAGTAACAGCAAATCTTAGCGTGGTTCAGGTTGGAGCGAGAAAAGAGCGCGGTTAGCGCCATTTGCGAAACCTAACCGCGATGTTCGTTGTTTACATCTGCGCGGCGTTTTAGAGCAAGTTTCAGGCAGTCTTAGTGTCCAAGAAAGCTTCGCCATGGAGATCGTAAAAACAACATGTTACGAAAGTGTTTGGTAAAAGCAAGATGGCCTGATGAACTGATGAACCATGTGTATTTGATGGCAGCTCACAGAATCAGAGGAAAGCACTACCTGGAGGCGCTGGAGGATTGCTGCACGAATAGGTCACTGCACAAACGAACGCAACTTGTTGAAGTGTTTAAAGCTTTGAAGTGTTTTAAGCTTTCGGGTCCAGCTGGGCACAACGTCCCAGCCGGATTTTCGGTAGTGCCTGGCGCAAGATCCGCGACAATTCTCCCAACGGCCTTCGAAGGTTTGAGCCTGTTGTTCGTCATCTCAATCTTATGTGGAGAACGCATGAAGGTAGCGTGGCATGCCAGCGTTGCTTCTTCAATGCTCCAGCGTTCAAGAGCTGCCAAGTACTCGTATGACTCTGCTTCTAGCGGTTTGACCTTGGTCTAGACCGCCACCTGGCCCAGCTCCATGTCCTGGAGGATCTGCTCCAAAGCTTCTGGAGCCGTCTATGCCGATCTTGACACTTCTCGGGAGGTCGTTCAGCCACTAGATCCAAAGAAATAAACATGGGGTGGCCTAGCGCGGTCGCTGAGCCCGGCTTGAGGGAGACGAGACGGCCTCAACGGTTGGAATCCACACCAGGTATGCTTGAGAATTGAACGTCTGTTTCCGGCATCGTTGGGCTCTTACTTTCGTTCAAGTAGCCTCTGGACGAATTGTTTGTGCGACTGGCATGATCCTACCCTGGTGCTTGCATGCTTGTTCTATTGCTGCGGTGCATTGTTGTATTCTTTTCCATCTACAGTACTGCACCGCCGGCGTGCGCGATTTTCAAACAGTCACATCACGTGCAAGAAGCTGGATCGTCAGTAGAAGTTAGCATGATTACGCCACTGTTTCTCATCCACAAACATACCCTGCTGCCTGGCGAGACGGATGCCTGAGGTCCACAGACGCCTTTGCCAAGTCCGACATGTTAATGAGAAGCCGCATGGCGGAATTGGCAAACTCTTAGCTTCCAGCTGCTTGAACAATTGCTGAATTGTAAGTTGCAAGGCATTCTAGCCTGGCGGCTTGAAATGAAGCAGCTTGTTCGAGGCGCTGAGCTGTTTGCTTTCTTTGATGGATCGGCTGGAGATTAACGATGCTGTTGACACACGATGCTCGCAGGAGAGAGGCTCTTCAGGACGTTCGCATGGTGACAAGTAAAAAAGAGCCGACTTTGCTCTTGGGAAGCTGCGAAGGTTTTTCATCCTGGCACTTTAGCATTTTTCTCACTGCCTCATGTGGGTTTGTGTTTTACCCAGCCGAAAGCTATGGGGTCTGTGTCCAAATAAGCTTCGGAGTGATTTGGAGCAGCTGTCAGGTAGGGTTCTGAAAGGTTTCGGAGTTCCCTGAGGCAGTTGCTGGGAGTAGGCCAGGGCCCCCAAAATTGCAGATGGCGCTTTTTGGAGATACCACCTCCTTTGAGGGCTGGTTTTACAGGGGAACCAAAACTGCTTTGCTACCTGGTCCGGCTTGGCAGTCCCGTTGTTTTCAATGGGCTACATGCCACCCACAAAGACAAGCCACTTCCTGCACAGTCATAGACATCGCTAGATTTGCTGTTTGTAACCGACCAACTCTGGCTTTGTACTGAAATGGTATCAACCAATACTACTATGGACCAGTGGATCGTGTCCTTCCTGTTCCTAATCGTATTTGTTTGTGCAACCTGTAGTGACAGTCCATGGCGGACGGTGGGCGAAGCTGGCACGCTTTGCTCGCGAACATGGCTGTGATCAAACTTGGTCATGACAGGCATTATGCGGACAGTGGCTGCCCTCAGCTGACTCAGAGCTAGGATCTCTGTTTGTTCTGATCAGGAGTTGCTGAGTGTGTGAGTGGGTTTCCTTGATTGCTCCAAGGACAGCTCGATAAAGATGTGAACATGGAGGTGCATGTGGCCTTTCAAGATCCTTGAAATTTGACAAGTTGTGAGTTATGTTTGAGTGTTTTGGATTCCTGCAGGCCATTCAGGCACGCATGATGCAGGAGATACAGGCTGGCGGATGCTGGCGCTCTTACCAGTTTTGCCGCTTTGGAAAAGAGGCGCACTAGCGTGCTAGCATAGCCTAAATGCGGCCGCAGGCAAAGCTGTCTGCAAAGGAGGAGGAGTTTTGGCGACGGGGGCAGGCACTTGACTGAAATCTTAGTTTGCATCAATGGGCAAACTGGGCTACGTCGGACCTGGATCATGGTCCCTTGCTGAGCAGATGCTGCGCTGTGCGAGGTAGAGATCAAACGGCTGCAGCAACAGCAGCAGGAGGTGTGTATTTTCAAGATGTAAGGATGCAACTACTTGTTCGCTACAGTTGCACAGATGTTTCTGGAGCTTCACACTATTCTCAAGAGACATGCCTCGAAAACACATTGCCAGCACCCTACGTGGGAGGTCACGACCCACTTGGCCAAGATGCAGGACTGTTCCTGCCCAAAGCATGCTCGATCTACATATAGTGGCGTTTGTGAGGAGCAGCAGTCAGAGATGGCTCTTGAGAACAAGCAACTGCGAGGCAAGCACAGCAACGTGCAAATTATGGTGCCAACATAGGGCCAGTGTGGGCCATGAGATCCGATTTACAAGAGCGTGTCTTGGGCCAAAGTTGCGGACAGGTGCGTTAGTGGAAGTCACCTCCAAGTTCGAGAAGGCTGCAGCGGCATCTCGATGGGGCTGCTACCTCGCAGAGCACATCACCTTTTTGCTGTCTTTTGCAGCCTATCCCCAGCATCACCTTTGCATCCATGCGATTATAACCCGGATTTTGAGGCCTTGCGCGGTGCATTGTTCTACCCCACAGCCCTTCTTTGCCCGCTCCCCCCTCCCAGCCCTTGCGTGCCTATACATGATTTGTCTGCTCCACGCGCCAGCCTCACATGTCCGCCGCGCGGGATGGATGGACACCAGGGATGAGATGGGATGGGATGGGATGGGATGGATGGTGTGCGGCCCGCACATTGCGTACGTGCGTGAGTGCGGCGCGTGCGCGCGCCATCAGGGCTGGCTTGGGGAAGGCTGGCCCCAAACGAGGGAATGCTGGGGATGCAGGTGATGCGCGAAACACAGAGGCTTCTGTGGGTGTTGGCGATGCTGGCAATGCAGCTGGGTTGCTGCATATTTGCAGAGTTTTGAGCCTTCCCCCAACTCAAGCTCAATGGCTGCACGGGCGATAATGATGCGCCTTTGCGCTTGACAAGCAGATGACGCGCCCAGCACGGGCTCACGGGCCCACAGGCCAAGCACGGGATCGCCACGGGCCCACGGGCCGACGGCCCCGCCAGGCACGGCCAGCCAGGCCCAAAGCAAAGGCCAGAGCACACCCCACGCCCTCATACTCTACCGTAACACAGCTTCAACTTGCAAGTCGATTTGTTGTGTGGCGCGTGGGGTGTTGATTGCATACTAGTGAAACCTGCCAAGAGTTTCTACCCGCAGAGAGCCTGTCCGCAAACAAAAACACGTAAACCACAACTGCAAATGAAAGCCCTGCACCCCCGCCCTGTTGCCAGAAGCTGAGGACATGAAATGCAGGGCAAGTGAAGGAAAGGAAGCTGAAGCGAAATAGGGAAGTGAGGAGACATCACGGGAATTTAAGGGGAAATGAAAAGAATTAAGCGAAAGGGCTGCAAACGAAGGGAAGTGAAGGAACTGAAACGAAACGAAGGGAAAAGTTTTCGGAAGAGAGCGAAGGGAAGGCGACTGACAGTTGCCGCCGACCCCTCGCATCATCGGCCCGTTGGCTTGGTCGCAGTGCCGCCGACCCCTTTTGGTTTTGTTTGCGCGTGGAGACTCCTTCTAGATTTGTGGCAGCACTGCGTCTAAGCTTGATTTGGTCCCCGATATAAGTGTAGTTTGCTGTAGAAGCAGCTGGTGAGATGAGTATGTGTGTTTGCGACTGCTGCACGTTGCGAAGCAAATGTGTCACGTAGACTTGCAAAGCAAGTGGACGATGGTGAGAACCATGATGATGATGATGATGATGATGATGATGATGATGATGATGATGATGATGATGATGATGATGATGATGAGGATGATGAGGATGAGGATGAGGATGATGATGATGATGATGATGATGATGATGATGATGATGATGATGATGATGATGATGATGATGATGACTGTCATTATAATTGTCATTATAGCATCCCTTGCATCCCCAACGCTGCCTAACGGGACACTTCTTCCAGATTTTTAAAGGTCTATGATGCTGCTGAGGATGAGGATCCTGATTATGACTCAATTCTGACCACCACCCTTCCCGAGCCCCTCCTTCCCTCTCCAAAACGCGGTTTGGGAGCCTCCCTGCACATAGACGAGTGCCCCTCTTTCCCTCCCTACAACGGCGTTTGTACGTGGTACTTGCCAGGATGAATGGCTTACCTCCTGAAAACGCGGTTTGTGCAAGCCGTTCTTTTTGAGAGTCCTTCTTTGCATCCCTATATGCTCGTTTTTTGGGGGCCCTTCTCGAACACGGTTTATGGCCCTTCTTGCATCCCTATTCTCCTTTTACACCCTAAAATGCAGTTTTTGGGAGCCCCTCCCTTCCTCTCCCAAACCCTGTTCGTTGCCAGGTGGAAGGTGCCGGAAAGGCGTTCAAGCGAATTGAGTAGGAATGTGTTTTCCAAGTTGGTGTGATACAGGCATGCAAGGCAAGACGGAAGCTGTCAAGCACCCTTCATTCCTGTCGGCCTTGACTACAAGCATCTTCTCAGCAGACCTCAGCCTTGTGAGCCATTGATTGTGATGGTGCCTGCTTTCCTTTTGCCATCATTGCTCTGATGTCATGGTATGCAACATGTTCCACTTGTCATGCTTTTCACCTTCGTTGTTTCTGTTTGATGGAGATCATCCATGCCGATGCATGCGTGACTCCCAGGCGGCATACCATGCCTTTGAGCATGTGGTGTCACAGTACATGCTCGAACATAGTCCAAGTCCTGCACTTGGCAGGTGCTGAAACAGATGACCGAGGCAGGGGCTTGTCTTGCAAAGGCTACGGTTGGGGCATGTCAACGTCTTCGAAACCGAAGGTCATCCGGTCACTTCCAAAGCATTCTTCGCAGGGACTGCGCCTCAAGGGAAGACAGGATGCGTTGAAGGGCATTGCCTCACCCATGTGTCGATCGTCCGCTGACAAGTCCATGTGATTTGATCATCCTTGAGCACATTTGGAAGCTGTGCCGCCTGTCTGGAATCGAAGACAGAAGTGAAAGCTCACACAAGGCAAGCAGCCTCCATCATCACCAAGTTTCGCTCCGGAGGCATTGCGTTATTTGCATTATTTGCGTTGTTTGCGTTGTTTGCGTTGTTTGCATTGTCAGTGTGCCACCAGAGCACGTCCAATCGGGCATCGATCAAGAGCCTGCCAGACTGCCAGATGGCCAGGCCCGACGCCAGGAAGATGAAGGAGGTGACCTTGCTGATTGCACGGACCGTGGGGACTGTCCTCTGTCAGGCCATTTGGAAGGTGCGCCGTCGACTCCTCAAAATGACACTCGTTTTCGATTAAACTGCTGCGTGGACCTCCTTGAGCCTCAGGTCTGACACAAGTGGCTCGCCTTGAGCTCAGAACTGTGGCATGCAAGACGCAACATTTGTTGGGCATAGAGGATCCCTCATGTTACTTGCTGACACGGAAGGCTAGCAATGTGGCATGGCGCTCGCGGAGCACGAGAAACAGAGGACCGGCCAGCGCTGCCCAAACATTTCTTTCACCATCGATGATTCACTGCAGGCTGGAAATTCGGACCTGAAGGCTGTCATGAGCTGCTTGTGGCACTGGCAATGACAACTCGGACCAACAGAGTTGGCTGAGTTGGCTGAGTTGGCTGAAAGGCCTTGCTGCATTGAACCTTTGCAGAGCTAGCGACCCTGGAGGCCACCCTGTGCACACCGCGCCGCATGACAACACAGGAGTCATTCGAGGTCCCTTCGAACGACCCTCAGCATAACACATGCCCAAAAGTGCAAGGGGCTGTATCTCCGCAGGAGGCTTGGTTGGACCGTCCCCAGCAAGCTATGCTAGGGGGTTTTTGCAGACCTAATTTCATGTTTTATCGGCATAGTTTGTGTCAATGAAAGTCGAATTCGGTGAATGATTCGCAGGACTTTGCCTGCAGCTCTAGCCCAGCAGCATGCCGCTGAGAAATAGGGTTGTTTGGACATCAGATTAGATGGAGTCAGGCCATTAGTGGTTGAACGAATTGCATGCTTTGATTGCACGCAGGGCAGGCATGTGGGGTAAATGAAATGATTGACCTCAGCTTTGCAGGTACTGTCGATCGCCAGTGCGCTGCCGTCCACGCACCCCAAGGCCCGGTAGAATGCCGCCAGCTAAGCTTGACAGTGTGTTTCTAGTAGAGCTTTGATAGACCCGTCATACGGTAAACAGGGCATCAAGCGCAGAGCAAGTGAACCGGTTCGCCCTGCCAGCTCCAACTTCAACTGGCAGAGTGCATCGACCAGGCGCCCTTCCTAATGTGTTGCAGCAGTTTTGATCACCGGGCATAGGCATCGCCCGGGAAATCAACGGTGACTCCATCCCCGCCTCCGAGGTGTCATGCCATGTGTTGGCCGTTCGTCGCGCTGCTGCCACTGCTTCAGTACTGGATGTGGCTAGACAAAACCAAATTATGGCGGACACGGCCAAGCACATGGCGAATCTAGCGGTTTCACCAGCATTGTTTTGTTTTGCTTTCGGTTCCTGAAAAGCCTCACGCCATTGAGTCCGGCCTCCAAAGAACAGATGCAAACACGTTCCTTTGGACATCGCGCGGGCTCTATGTTAGCGCCTCTTGTTGAGAATGTTCACCCTCAAAGATGCCATGCCAAACACAGCATCCCCGGGAAATCAGAGTGGTATGGGTGCCATGTTGAATCTTGACTTGTTGGCCTCAGGTCCCGTGTTGTTCTCCTAGAGAGTGATACATGCAGCCAGTAAGAGTGTGACTATGTGTTGATGTTGTTTTGCTGTGAGAGACGAGCAATCACTGCAGTATGGTCTTTTAGAAAGGGATGGGGTTGTAGAATCTAGATTGTACTTCATTGGCGGAGTTTGTGCCTGCCAGCTTCAGCGTTGTCGGATTGACACGCACAACCACTGCTCGTCTAGACAGCTGCGTACGTTTGTGAATGGGCACAATTACATGCCATCTGCGGTTCCGTTCCTCGCACAGTATTTTGCAAGTTGTTTCAAGGTGAGGAAGTTCTGCGCCCGAACCTCCGGCCAGGTCTAAGCGAATGTCAATGAGCTCGCGACCCGGTCAAAGAGCCATTAAGAAGGCACTGCTCAATCTCGTGAAGTGAATGTGCAGGTTCACAAGCAACAGCAGAGTCCTCAGACCACTGCATCGTGGTTCAGTCAGCCCCTTATATGTTGAATCGGTCGCCTTCGCTTGCCTGCTAACAAGTAGTGGCAGTGCATCAGCGAGGCTCACAAAGGGGCCTGGCTTTACGACACTCGGGATCGAGGCCGCAAATGACCTCACGATCTCCCCCTTGTTTAATGGCCTGCGGCCTGGTTCCGCCGCCCCCAGACATCCAGACATCCAGACATTGAGAGATCCAGAGATCCAGGCCCCATCCAGAGATCCAGAGATCCAGAAATCCAGCCGACGTATTTTCCCGCCCCAAGGGATATACATAATCTATTCACATTAAACCTATTGAAAACATCAACAAAAGCAACACAGAACACTCCGCCCCCATGGCCAAAAGCCTGGTCCATTGTGGACCAGGCATGGGGTTGGCGGATTCGACAAAACAAGCAGCACACAAGACAAGCACCAGTCAAGCAGCACCAAGCCGTGGTTGCATGAGCTTGATCTGATCATTTTGGGCTGTTTCAATAGCGAAACCATGTTCGAAGACACGTTGTGGCTGTGTTCAGGTCAACCAGGATGAAGATACATTGCGAGTCGAACGCGTTGATGAGCCTCCGACTCAGCTTCAGTGTGAATGTGCCAGCTTGATTTGCAAGATCTTTTGCACGCAGTCAGAATAGTTCCAACCAGATCGCCAGAGCACTGCTGGAGTTGTCAAGCTATCGTAATGAAGCTATGCTTTGCAATCCGGAGGGCAAAACAGCTTGGGTGAAAATTACATCACTTTTGTCGAAGCAGAATGCTGTTCTGGAGGTTTCGTTGGCCAGTGCTTCCAGTTTTCTGCATCCTGCCCCGAAACTCTGAATTCTTACACATAAGTTTGTACAAATGAGTAATCCAGTGTGCTTTTGGGCAACGTCTTCTAACATCTTATTTGTTTACGCTTTCACCATCGCATATTGATATTGCTCAGTCAAGTCACATGTGCACTGCATTGTTTATTTAAATTTACATCATTGTCACACAGTTTTACACAACAAGCTGAATGAGGCTATTGTGAGATATTGTGAGTTGATGCTTCGAAGATGTCAAAGTGCGTTTGCTGATCTACCAATGTTCATTGTTCCACAGCAGAGGTACAGAATTGAGGTTGGTTTGCTAATTTGCACAGAATGTGTGCATTATGTGTTCTCAATCTGCCAATACAGACTCTAGCTCTCTTCTCAAAAGGGAAGCGAGGTGTTCTCTACTCTAAAGTCACCATGTAGCGGGGTCTACGCAACTATCTCAGACAGTGGGGTCTTCAAAAAGGACAACGAGAACCCCCTGAAAACAGCAAGGATATTCTGAAACTCATTCGAGATGAGATGTTGCTTTGGGAGCAAAGGTTTGGAAGCAATGCGCCCTGTGCGGATGGGAAGTCTTATCGTGAAACAACACAAGTGCCGGAGTGCTAGCTGACCCCGAGGCACAGGTATGGCGCACTCAGAAGGAATTTGTCCGTGAACGATTGCAAGGTGTGCCTGCAAAATTGCGCAGCAGTCCTTCAAGGGGTGCAAGTGTGTGCTTTCTACTAGCGTTAGGTGTTAAGGCCTACATCGGGTTGTAAAAACGTGTTTGCCATGCTCTTTAGGGTGTGTGTGTTTTTGTGTTTGCAAATCGTTTGGTGTTGCTTTATTGTTGATGCATTGTTCGTTTGTTGCTTTCTTCATGTCTGGATTTAACCAGTTTGAACAAGCAGAGCGTATTGAATCCTTTAATCAAAGCGTTTGGCCAAAATTTGCACGTTTGGCGGGTCATGTGAAAGAAGGTTCGTGTGTCGCCGTGCTACAGTAGCGCTTGGCCTCAAGTGTTCGATGGTTTGGCAGGAAGGTCTTTAAACATCGGCAATGCAATGCCAACACAAAATCCCAAAGATGAGAGGTGTTTCAACGGTTGTACCATGACCATGGCCCCACCCTGCAAGCAACCAAGAAGTCGATGACTTGTGAAGTGACCGTAGGTCAAGCTTACATTCTGACTGAGGTATGGGCTTGTGGGCAAGTTCAACAGCTCTCAGGCACGAGCTTCAGCGCTATTTAGAATGCTTGGGTGGCATGTGAGGAAGGAGAAGGCAAGATCCTCGTAGGGGACAGCATCGTGAAGGCCTTGCTGACTGGCTTGCGGTTGTCTAATTTTTGGCGCAAGGGGTGAGCCACGCATAAGACACTTCACAAGAATATGCAGTTAACAGCTGAAGCAGTCTTTGCACTTGGTGAGGTCACAAACCGAGGTATGCCTTGCTCTTTCTCCTAGAAAAAGCCGGCGAAGCGACGGAGTCGCAAAAAGCATAACTCGCGCCGTGTGCCCTGTGACATGCAAGCGAATGCAGGGTGCTGCAAAGCAGTTCCGGGATTTGGTGAGCCAGCCACTTCGAATTCAGGAGTTGTTTGCCATCTTGCCGCTAGACAGTTACTCCGCTACTTAGCCAGAAAGCTACTTCCTTTTTATCAGATGTTTTGGTTGGCTGGCTGACGAGTCGACTTCAATGTTCGATAGTTGGCTAGCCAGCGACCTGGCGAGCCAGCCAGCTTCATTTAGTCGATGGGTTATGCGATTCAGTTTCGCAAGTTGGTTCGGCTAACGAGACATTCTAGTTCGTTTGCAGTTAGTTGAACAGGATAAATAGTTGGATGCGTTGTGAGACACTACTTATTATTGGGATACTTGAAGCAGCTTTTTGCTTTTGTAGGTGGCAAAGGATTGCGCGAGCAAAAAAACAAGCATCAGCACTGTGGCAGTCGACCCATGGTGGTTTGACCGCCTGCCGAAGAGCGCAACATCCACGCGACGTTTCTTTCTGCGGGTTCCCCAAAGTCTCAGTTACTGCGGGTGAGGCTGTTTGTGTAGCCATAGACACAAGCCGCGCGGCCACGCAGCAAATGGATGCATGCACTGCGCATAATATTGAGCCCAAATGGAGGTTCCTGCAAAGTTGGCAGAAAAGGGTGCCAAGAGCTGGACTGGCTTTGAATCACGACGTTTTGCAAGGGACTGAGCAGGTCAACGGGGTTGGACAAGATCCCGATTCCATGCTGCAGGTGATCAAGGCGAGATGCCGCTTGTGCACAAGTGACGATGCCATATTTGCACAACGCGCAAGGAAGCCGAGCAACTGACACTGACTATACGAACACAGGCCAGGGTTGAGACTGGCGGCTGGGCAAGGCAACAGGCTCAGAGGCGTGCTTGGCAAAGGCGAATTCACCCACAAGGCTGCGACCAGAGGCTCGCTGGCCCGGCTTTGCACGTGTGCCTCAGCCACGAGAGAGTGAGGCGCAAGAGTTCGTGCCCTCGGAGAAGGAGTTTCACCCTCCAGGTGAAAGGCCAGGGTTCCGGAGTTGATTGCTTTTGCACCAGTTCGATTTCCTTGGCATGGCTTTTGTTCTGCTGCAGTTTGTTGGCAGGGTCGTGTTAGAGGTCTGTTTAGACAGAGTGTAGCTTGTGTACCTGATTGAAACTCAAACGGGATGAGATCCGACACAGGCGCATCTTTGAAAAAAAACGCAAGCAGGCCGGCCCTGGCGTTGCTGCAGGCTCGTGTCTCAGATATTGTTGCAATTTGAGCGGTATGTCAAGTCCAGACAACAATCTATGGCCGACAGAGCCGAAGCAACTGCTCATGATATACTTGTACTGATGCGCGCGTAACCGTAAATGGGAGCGCTTTGCCCCCTTCCCAAGCACACCCTTGGCTTAGAGGACGCAAATCGATGACAAGAATACAGCATCCAGTAACAAAACATGGTTGAAGAAGAAGGCGTTCCAACACCATGACATTTCTGCGCCGCAGAAAAACCGGCTTTCTCCACACTATTGGGCTTCTGAGGGCTGGCCACATAATGCATACATGTGCCTACGCATATCCTGGTAGTTCTGGGCGAAAGTTAGTGCGAACGGCAGCCAGGACACTTCGGATTCAGAGTCACTTGGGCCAGCACTATGCTTTTACGTTTGACTCTGGTGGTGGGTGCGCTTGACAAGATTTTGCCATGAGATTAGCACTAGCAGAGCACCATTGTTTGGAAGGCAATCTAATGTTTGTGTGAGTCTGTGTGTGCATGCGCGTGTGCGTGCGTGTTCTTTGTTTGTGTTTGCCTGTGTGTGTGTGTGTGCGCTGTTGACGGTTGTTTCATTCTGTTTTAGGTTCCCTCGTGGGGTCACTTTGGGTTTCGACAAATGTTAACAATCCAGCAGGATTAGCTCTTTGATCCTGCTATGTTGACAAAGCATATGACTGTTCCCTTTACTTTTGGGTCGCTTGCATC